ATTGCTTGTATAAGTTGACAGAATAGCTAGTATAAGTTAAAAATATAAATGAAATAAATAAAATGAGCTCATATTTGATGACGGAGTGGGATAGTATAAGATTTGAGCTGTTTAAGTTAAATGAATAAGTGAAAATTATATAAGACAAGAAACAGATAAACTGGTATAAGACATTAAAACGATCTAATATAAGACTGATTAGCATAATCAATAATAATCTGGTATAAGAGTGATAAGATATTACAATGATTTGGTATAAGGGTGAGTGCTATAAGAAAATATAATATTCAGATATAAGAATTAGTGGTATATGCTATAAGATTGATCTGGTATAAGAGTGAAAAGCATAATATATTGGAATAATCTAATATAAGAACGATTGGCATCAGTCACATATTAATGCATACCTTTAACATTCTGCAGTTATACAACAACTTATCTTAAGTCTGTTATACCCCAACCGAATAGCACAGTTCGCGTTAGGTATATTGTCTGTTATGGTCTTCTACGTTGCTTTAGTCTGCTATCGGATTTGCTTTGTTGTGCAGAAATGCTGCAATCATTAAGGCTGGCCATAAAACCGTAAAATGCTTCGCATTACCGATTGCCAATACATAAGCCAAGTAACGTGAATGGCTGCTTATAAGAGTGTGAGTGTGTGTGTCGTATAAGTAGAAGGTTACGAACTTCTAATCCAGCTTGACTACGCATATTATCTAGTCACTCAGCGCGCTTGGATGAGTTGACAAGAACTGACTGCAGCTCTCGATGCCCAACTCTTTGGCTTCGATTTTAGCTTATGCGCAATTAGGCAGCTGTTCAACTTGGCTATATTATGAAAATAGCATAGCAATATATATGTACGTATGAAATTCAGTTGTTGGGCAAACACATATGCTAGAGCATAGGCAAGAAATAGCACATGGCTGGCACAACAACAAGTTGTTCGTGTCGCATGGCCATAAATACTGTACGTAGTACATGAATCTTAGCTCATGAGCACATGTTGCTGCTTCAGCTGGCCGAAGGCGTGAGAGAATGCGCCAAATAAACGATCCAAACATTTTGCTTTGGCTCAATTATCGAATTGCGTTTGATTTGGCCAAAAACATCTTTTGCAGGTGTTTTCATTTTACTTTCCATAATTCTTCAAATGCAATTGCAGCAAGGTCTGTTGTATCTGTTGTATATGCATAACTCTATATAGAGTATCTATAAACACATATGAATTTAAGAGTACATATTTCTGACCTCTAGAGAGTTAATCCAATCAAGCACAAATTGTTGTCATTAAATTGTGCATGTGTTCGTTATATTTTTGAATATACAACTATAGAAAGTTGTTTATCTATTTGTTCTGTACGAACGCAGCGATTATAAGAGCAAGCTATATCAAATGTGGTATATATATATGACTTGTGGAATTAGTTTGCGTTTTAATTTTTAATTTAATTTAAAATCTTATAAATATACTAAGGGATAAATATAGTAAATTTTTTTAAAATATACTGAATATTAATAAATTTATTTATTTATATTTATATTAAAATATTGTATATACTTTATCAATAATACCTTAAGTTTTCAGAAATATTGTAAATTTTTGTTTTGAGAAAGATTATGGATTTTTATATTTCTGGTATTTTTCACAAGGAAGGATATATATTTAAAATTTTATCAATTTTCTCAGCTTCATATACTTTTTCTTAGTTTTTTTTTTTTTGCACAAAGCCACATAAAATGTTAAAAATTAGTTAAAAAATAGTTTTATTTTAGTGTAGAAATTGAAAGTATTTATTTATTATTTTGCTTAGTATTTAGTTTTATTATTTAATTTTTTTATTTTATATTATGTTGTAACTTTGAAATATTAAGGTGTTTATATAAGTCGCTTTAGTTGATGCATAGAGTATTTTCTAGTCTCTTAGTTTTGCAGCTGATGCATTCAACTGTAGTGTTTATTAATATATATATATATATATATTTATATACATATGTATATATAAATATATATGCATATTTGATTGACTTTTTAATAGGCTGCTGGCAATTTGAGCAGCTTGCGAAGACTTGCGTTCAATTGTGTGCAGGAAAAATGATTTAATGAAAATTAACACTCACAAAATTAAACACGAAATTGTGTGCAACAATTTTGCAGCCAGACATTCAATTAAACAGCAGGCAAAAGCCGTTTATACAGGCATAAATACACACACACACACACACACACACACACGTACATATATAAGTATGCATAATGAAGGATAAGTCTTAATGCTCTAGCTGTAGCTAATTATATTTTAAGTTTATAAAGGTAAACAACATCAGCTGGATTGTTTACTCAAGCAGCAATAGTGTATGCAAATTCTCTATAATATTTCAGTTTTCATTCATATGTTGTGTGCTTAGAGAAATTCCACTTGAAATGGCTTTTCTCGAGCGCCGGCTTTAAGTTGGCAACAATATTTTTGCATAAACAAGGAACGAAAATAAAGCAAAGCCGAAGCCAAGTCAAATAAAATCAAATGAAAATCAAAATCAAATAGGAAAGCCGCAGCACGTAGGCAACATTAATGCCCAGCCCAAGCAGCAGGACTAAAAAAAATATAAAAAGGAAGCAAACGAAAGAAATAACAAATACGCCAACACATGGGCATAAAAATAATGAAAAAAGGACGTCGACTGGTCTACAGCTGCTTTACTAAACATGGCATAAAGTTGGCCAAGTTATGCCAAATTGGCAGCTCCACGAAATTGCCCGTGGGCTAGCAAAGTGAATTCAAGTATTTTTCAATGGGCCCACAACAAAAATCTTTTTCTTTTCTGTTCGTTTTTTTCTATTTGCCTATTTATTATTTTTTACATAAATAACAAAAAATTTCACTCCTACTGAAATTTAATTCGTTTCTAAGCGAAGCTAATAAAATATGCTCGAAAAAAAGAGAAGAAAAATTAAAATGAAAATGAAAATTTTAAAGCTGCATTTTATGACTTCTATTTTTGGGCAGTTGTTTTTTTGCCTTTGTTAAAAAATGATAACGGTATGTTTGCAAGGCTATTCAACTTTAGCAGAAAGTAAGGCTAAGTGGGTTTTATATGCATTAAAATTCCTTTTTGATATTTTCTCTTATTGTAGCCCAAGCCAATCGGTTACGCAATATTATTGTTAAAAATTTGTTTGCTGTCTAGTATAAGACTGATTGCAAATAAAAACAGCATTAAAAAAAATAATAATAATTATATTGTTTTCTATTTATTTATATAACTTATTTATAAAATTTTAAACTATTTTTGCAGTTTCTTAAAATATTTTATAAGCCTTTTGCTTTTGCTGACTGATTATTTTTTATTTAAAGTAATGAATTCGTAATGCAATTGATGCATGCTCATAAGCTGAGACTAATTAGCATCTCTAGCTTGATTTAATGAGATTGTAATATGATGAGGGGTAAAGCAGGCGACGCTACTTGTTTTTATCATATAACAAAGAGTTTTTATTTTTTTATTTTTATTTGTTATTTTTTTATTTTTATTTATTTTTATTTTCTTATTTAATTTTAATTTTATTTAATTTTTAATTTCACTAGCCTATGGAAGCTGTAGGTTTTTGTAGCTTATGAACTTATTCTGTGCCCTGGTCCGACACCAGGCAGACCAGGGAATTTGGCTTTGATCAAATGACACTTAGCAGCGCTTGATCGACTCGTAAATGTCCTTTAAATTTTAGCTGCACTTTCAACATTTAATTGCTGAAAACTTTGTTCAAATTTTCTTTGCTGTCTTTAAACTTAAACTGAGTAGGCTTTGCATTGTGAATGTTTCTAGATAAATACACTGAAGTTTTGCAAATTTTTGTGTAATATGAACTATTTTAAATTAAAATTTTTAAATATTTGGGTTAAGTTTTTTCAATAATTGTTTTGAGAGAATTGCGTTTTAAAATCAATTTGTATAGTATCAACGACATCTGCGATATTATGTGTGTGTCCATATACCAATTGCAAGCTCAATCCAACGGATTTTCAACTATTAGTTTGAGTTTGTCTCTTAGTTGTGCTTCGCTGGCGACTCACTTGGAACTTTGACGGCGCGAAATATGCAGAATTAATTGCGGCAGTCGCTGTGTGAAGCTAGCTGAAAGGAATATTAATAAGCGCAACACGTGCAGCGGTTTTGTCAGAAACTCTATTACAACAGCAACAGTAACAGCAACAGCAACAGCAACAGTAACAGCAATAACAAAAGGAATAGAAGCGTTGCCAGGAAGCAGATTGTAGCGTGGAAGGGCTTGGGTAGAGCAATATCCGTGTCTGGACCAATGCGAAAGTTTGTTGAACGAAACGGCTTTGAAGTCTAATAGGATTAGCCCTGCCCTCGTGCCCCTCCCACTAGCACTTGGTGGGCGTTGTTATACGAAGCACATAAACGACAGCAGTCACAATTGCTATGTATGTGTGCATATGGTCGGTTGTGTGTGTGTGCACGTGTATATTCTGCCTGGTGATATTTGTGTTTTTGGCCAAGAATCAACATTGATATAAGCAAAAAATTATATTAAATGTCTGCCAAATATTGAATCGGAATAACGGTTATTTGCATACGAATATTTATATAACTAACCGTAATTGGTAGCAACAAAAGCTAAGCAGCAAATGAATTTTGTCTTAACCTCAAGCATCATTACGGGAATTATTAGGAATGAGCAAGTCGAAATCTAAATGCCCTTTCTATATCATATATGATATAGAAAGCATATTAAATCTCATTCAATCTTTTGTATGTATTGAAATGGGAGAGTATTGTATAAGTTCCCTAATCTATATATCTCTATATATATTCTTGATATGTCTGTTTATATTGTACATAAAAAGTTATCCTAAGCAGATGCCGAGCATTTACTAGTCATGCACTCCCGACTAGAATACTCTCGCTTCTTTGAATTGATTATTTAATATATTCAATAAATTTGATAGCAAATTGCAATTTTTTATTAATGCGTTCTATAGAGTATTAAGAAGTAAACATAATATACGAAATATAAAATGTATAAAGTATGTATGAAATATATATGTTTGGGTAAATCAAGGGTAGTACGCAGCATATGCTTTAGCCAACAACACGATCATTGAACTTAATCGTGATATCAGTCTTGGCCATGTTGCTGAAGGCACCGACAAACTCATTCAGTGTATCATTGGGCAAGCGCCTGTCGAAGGGGAAGCCCATGGTGCGTCTGTCCGGATACAGTTTGTCCTTGAGACCGCAGAACGAAAAGGCCGTGCTGCAGGCATCGTTGGGCGTGCTGTGTGTGGGATAATATTTCATTTGGTAATTGCTCAACTACATGGAGTTGGAGTAGTCGTAGTTACTCACTTGCTTAGCTGCTGCACCGAATCGTTGGTGTAGTCCGAAATCATGACAAACAAATCGAATTGCATGCCCTCGGGCTTGCCCTTGGGCAGCAGCAGATGCTGCGGCCACCCACAGCCACAGAAACGGAAGCGTGCCAGCTCATCCGCTGCCTTGGGCTGATAGTTGGCCCCAACGGCACGGAACGAGCGCTCAAATGGTATGGCCACCGAGGAATCAGTCGATTCACGGCGTATGGTATTCTCGCCGGGCATCACTGTGAAGGCAAAAGCATTTAATATAGTCAAGGCTAAAGAGTATAGGGCATATACTTACGTTCCACTGTAAACTTATCCATTTCAATGGCCATCAGACGTTGCTCTTCGAGACGCAGCGGCTGGTTGCGTTCGTCGACCTTGGGGCAGATGAAAATCCGACAAGTGCCGGTGCGCCTGGCTCCCGCATTGGTCACATTGAACGTGTAGGTGAAGGGTGCGTTCTGCAGATGCCTAAATGTGGCTGTAATATTCTCATCCTCAACGGGCCCGAAGTCCAAGCCAGCTGCCAAATTGGCCGACGACTTTTGCCAATAGGTGAGCAGAGTATTTGGCCGCGCATTAGCGGCGCCCAAGCGCGCTTCCACATAAGTCACACTGACGCCATCGAAGCCCAATTGAGCGTTATCGTAGACGGGCAACAATGCCTTATGCTTGTTGAAAACGGAGTCAATGAAGCCGTGCCATCTGTAGAAAATGGGATCACGCATGGCCGTAGTCACGTCGCCCATGACACCAAAGTCCTCCAAGTGCCTGGCATCAGGATCGTGGGCGAACGAGATTATGGTGTGACCCTGATTATGCAAATTGCCATAGAACTGATTGTTCACAGAGAGTGTGTTGGATGCCTCAATAATGTTGCCCAGAATATCGATGCCCTTCACTTCATCCAAGGGAATACGAGTGCCTTGAGACTGCATTGGAAAGAGTTCGATATCTGCATTCGAAATTTATATTCAATCAGATTAGTCGACTCACATTTTCAACGAAGCCTTGATCGATGGCGGCCAGCACACGATCACGCCAGCGTTCCAATTCGGAGATCTCAATGTTGCCGTCGGGACGATCGACATCGCGCAGCAGCTGATTGGAGATGCGTGCCGGATAGGTGCGATTGTTGATGCTCGACAGAATCTTGGGGAAGTAGCCCTCGGGTATTTCATCGCGCAGATTACTGAGCGGTATAGTACGCTTCAGATTGTTGCAGAAACGCTCGACGTTGTAGCGTGCGAGCAGTTGATGATGCATATAGTAGAAGAGCTCGCCGCGACGATCCTTGTTGACGACCTCCATGGGTCCACTGGCTGGGTAAACCAAGTGCCAATGCCAATGATGGCTGTTCACGCCAATATCCTCACGGAAGTAGGCCAAACGCTGTTCATCCTCGCGATCAGAGGCCGTATAATTGGCGGGTATCTCCAAAGCGGAACGATTGCCGCTCTTGGCAATCACCGAAGCCTCCTGGCGGGCATCCTGCAGAAAGACAGATTACAATTGATCGCGTTTTTTTAAAAAAGCAGCTTCGCCCAGCTCACCTGGAAGACCGATGGTTCGATAAAGTTGCTGGGAAAGACCTGCGAAATGTTGGGAATGGGCACAGTGCGCGTGTCCGGACGATGGGCAATAGTCACAGCATAGCAGTACTGGAAGAGCACCGGGTTAACGCGATCCCTGTCAAATAAAAATCATGTTTAGGCTTAGTCAGATCAGATTTAGTTCCAGTTATTTAAATCACTCACTTCGTGTAGGCAGCCAACGCCACGAATTGCTGCAAGTTGGGTGCATCCAGGAAGAGCTGAATCAGCTTGCTGGCAATTTCCTTGTGGCTGTTGATGAACAGCGAGAATTGCTTCTTGTGGCCCAATTTGGCAGCAAATTCAAGATTTGGCTTCTTGGCCAGCTCTCTGACGGGAATGCGCGTTTCCACATTTTGGCTAAAACGATTGGAGACCTCTTCGGTGTTGTTGCGATAGCGATCCGTGTAGACGCTCTCAGGCAGATCGAACACGGTCTTGCCATTGTCACGTGTGGTGAACACCGGCTCCAAAGGCCGCTGAAACAGCAACTCCAAGGCTTTCAAGTCGGTATTCATGTTGATAGACAAAGAGTTTAGAAATTAACTAGATTTAATTACTCGAATTAGTTCTGCTCTACACAAGCTATTGCAGCGTACTGTGATTTCCGTTCGCGACGCCTCGACTTTTTATAGCTCCTCGAAGCCAAGCTACGAATTTGCATTTGTTTTCTCTTATAATTTGCTGATAAGTTCTTTTGACAATTGTGGTTTTCGCCACACTTATTTTTATTTTCATGTATTTCTCTGTTATTTTAGCTAGCCACAAAATTTGTCAAAGAACGCTTATCACTTCTGCAAGTGTAAGGGGTATAAGAAGCCTTCTTTGGCTTGCGGTTTTTAACTGATTCGTGTTTATATTTCCATGTGTTTCCATGTATGTTTACACGTCGCTTATCAGCAAAAGGGTCGCGTCTTTTATGTATTATTTCACATGTTCACACAGCGTTTTGTGTTAAAGATAAAGATTTTTTGGTATTATTTTTTCATATCTTAAAATTTGTTTGTGGTTTCAACAATGTTTCATATTGCATTAAAAATGCATATTATTTTAAGTTAGTTTAAAAATAATTTATTTGATTTTAAATTTTTTTTTAATAAAAAAAAAAATAATATGCATTTATTATTTTATGTTAGCTTAAAAAGAATTTATTTGATTTTAAATTTTTTTAAAATGAGTCTCCATATTTTTATATTTAAATAAATTATTTAAAATGCTGTTTTTTTGGTTTTGGTTAAAAAAATAGTTTTTTTTATTAATTTTAAATATATTATTATTTTTTTTTTTAAATTTATGTTTATAATTATTTTTTTTTCTATTTTAATGATTTGATATATGCAAAACAAAAATATTGAGTAACGCAGATGAATATTTATATTACATATAAATATATTATATATATTATTTTATATACCATAATAAATTGTCCCAAGCTTCAGGTCTTAATTTAAAACATTAAACTTTCTTTCAAAATCTCTTTTAAATTCTTTTTGTATATTATCTCATGATAAATTACATAAGATAATTTTTTTCTATATTGTTCTAACATCTTTTTTTTTTTTTGCATCCAACCCATTTGAACTTTTAAAGAGTAGAATTTTTATTTATAAGAAAAAAAGGTCCGAAAAATGTATGAAACTGCCTCAAGGTAAATATTATGGTTAGGCTTTTCTTTGTTGTGCTTATGCTTGGCCATTTCTACAGCATGCCGAGCGAGCCTGTTTTAGGCCCTGTGGCTAGTTAAATAAATTGGGCAACATATGTATTCGCAGCAGGACTTTCAGCTGGCACACATAACTCACGCATAAATGAGCGTGACTTTGAGTCTGAGTGCAGTGCGGACCATAAATTTATGCATAAAGCGTAACTAACTTGCGCAGTCCTTATAGAGGCGAACAACTTTTGGCGATTAAAACATTTGCGCAAATCAATTTTTGCCGCTTTCGTGACCAGAGCGAAAACTTTTGCCATTGTCAATAATAAATGTGAGTGCCAGGCGCTGTTGCTGGCATTGAAGTTGGCCAAGGCGATCAAATGGGCGCGCATTAATCTGTGAAATTGACAGCAACACCAACTACAACAACAATCACTAACACTGCAATGAGACTTGGAGCAAAGCTTGCGGCAACCAGGCACTGTGGGTCGATTAGCTGTGCGAAACTTAGATATGATATGACTAGATATTATATATGCGATATATGATATAGGGGTTCTATATAGCTAGAAATCTATTGAAACTGAAAGTTTTAGAAAAAAGTCTGTAAGAAAGTTGCCTGGCTCTAGTTTCTCTAGTTTTAGTTGTTCTACTAATTAGCACTCCAAACAATATTTTTCTTTTAATTTATATCAATATAATTCAAAGAAATTATGGCATATTTCGAAAATTCTCTGGATGCTTAGTATAAACTATATAATTATCTTAGTTAAGCAACTTCATTATACGATAGTTCAAAGTTCTCTTTGTCAGTTATTGTTTTGGCTTTCGCAGTTCAGTCCCGATTGACACTATATGTTAGCTATAGTTGCCTTCCATGCATAAACTCGTCCCACTGTGCAACATCTTGTTCTGCCATACCTCACCGTCACCACTTGCCGTAGCCTGGTCTGGTGGGAGCCCAATGAGTTGGGGAATTCTAAAGATGAATTTTCAACATTTTGCCCACAACACCAAAATGACTTTTCATGTCAAAGTTTTGTCAGTTGTTGTTGTTGTTGCTGTTTCTGCTGCTGTTTGTGCCTCTTCATCTTCTTCTAGTTCTGCCTTTTGTTATCTGTCAGATACATTTACAATATGCAAAGTAATATTTCAACAGAAATGTCTTTAAGCGCCTGACAATGCCGCAACTAATATTAATTAATTATGTACATAGCACTTACTTTGCATTTTGCGTTAAGTTTTTAAAGTCTAAAATATTAACGAAAAAGTAAGTAGAAAAGTAATTTTTTATGGCACGGCACAAGTAGACAAACTTTTTTAAAGGCAAACTTTTTGCGGCAGGTCGATAAAGACAAAAGTCGGCCCAACCATCATCAGACGCCAAATAGCAGCTCGTTAAACGATCGGAAAGGGTTGCCTTAATTATGCATAACAGTTAAGCCTAAGCAGGGCAGATTTCTACAACATTTTTGCGGCATATCATCAAAATCGGGCTCAATGGCAGCGGGCAGAGGCACGCAGCGACAACCACAAACATTTTTGCGTCCCTTCGTTCGCTCGCTTTAAGAACAAAAGCAAAATCCAAAACACAAACCCAAATCCTTTAATATTGCATACCTGTTAAGCGAGTTTATGAATTTCAACAGGTTAATAAGGTTACATTTGATATGCAAAATGAGGAAATTGAGTTAAGCGTTTAAAAATCTTCCCAAATGGATTTCGACTATTATGTTATACGATATTAAAATAATCTGAAATGGATAAAAGAACTTGAGGAAGGTCCCTTGTGAATCTATATATGTATGGAAATGTCAGATTATATTCATATCCATATCTATATCCATATCCATATCTATATCTATATCTATATCTATATCTATATCTATATCTATATCTATATCTATATCTATATCTATATCTATATCTATATCTATATCTATATATATATCCATATCTATATCTATATCTATATCTATATCTATATATATATCCATATCTATATCTATATCTATACCTGTATCTGTATCTATATCTATATCTATATCTATATCTATATCTATATCTATATCTATATCTATATCTATATCTATATCTATATCTATATCTATATCTATATCTATATCTATATCTATATCTATATCTATATCTATATCCAGCAACCATAAACATTCTCAATATATATCAAATTGTGACAACATATTAAACTGCTTGTTAGATTTGACAGCAGCAAAGTACATTCCAAACAGTCTGCCAAACTGGTTAAGTCCGCTGCTGGCATTTAGCCAAACAGACTAAACTGTTTACCTTAATTGGAAAGCATAATGAAATAATCATATACATAATAAATAGCAAATGAAGCCAAGCTGAAAATCATAAATTAGCTAGAGAATGGCCTAAAGTTATTATGAACGCACAGGCTGACAGGTAGGTAGACCCAGAGGCAATCAAAGTCGGACCAATTGGTAGTCTCAAAGGGCTGGCCTCCATTTGCTGATGCCAAAAAGTGAAAATCGATGCTGACAGCAGTGGGCCAGGCTAACTACTTAAGTAATAGACTGAGGGAGCTTGGCAAATCTCCTATGTCTAATTAAAAAGCAGTTCTCACTGTAAACACTGTCGCCCAACACCTGTCAGAGCTGCCGGAAGTGCACACAGATAGTTAACTGTAACAAATCATTTAGCAAACGTAGTTCAAACTGAAGATGGGCCAACAGTTGTTGGCAGTTGGAAATGTTATTAGTTGGAAAATGTTGCCAGTTTGCCAGCTTGCCAGTTGGCAATTGTCGCTGCCTCTGCTGCACGACTGTCATGCCATGTGGCAGCAGCCCAGACAATAGAACTGTTAGCGGCTGCAACAATGTGTGTGGGTGTGCGCCGAAGGTAATTGAACAACATTTGTTGAATGGCTTGGAACAAATTGCAGCATTGTGCGTGCGTGTGTGACAGGGACAGCAACAGCGATGGAGACGGAGACAGAGACGGAGCATGTCTAACTGCTGCAACATCAGGTGTTGCGACTCTTCGACTGTGTTTCCATTGTCAACGGCAGACAGGTGGCTGATTTTCATTCTTTGCGTCTCGGTTTACTTTTTCTTTTTTTTTTTTTTTATATCTTTTTGGCTTCTGCCATGTGTGCTGCTGTCAACTGTCAACGTTTTATACCCTGCAAATCATAAAAGATGGCACATGAAAGGAATTGCCATAAACTTGTCGTGGTGTGTTGCTTGTCACAGACAGCAGCAGTTACTTTGCCAGCTCTTTTTGATTAGCTCAAACAAATGAGTTAATTTGGCCAAGAGTGTGTGCAGCTGCGAGTAATTTTCATTAGAGCGTAATTCCTTTTGTCTGATTAAAATATAAGCTTAAGCTTAAATCTGGTTGTGTTGGCTACATCTATATTGAATTTCGAATCATAATAGATAATGTTATCGTTGTCTTCATGCTTCAGAGACTTCAGAGCTACGTTTTCTAAGAATCTAGGTTATTCGACATAGACATATGAAATTGAACCAGAAGTTGATTCTGAATCTGAGCTTGAACTTAAACCTGAACAGTAACGGGAACCGGAACCAGAACCGGAACCGGAACCGGAACAGGAACCGGAACCTGAACCAAAACCAGAACCTGAACCAGAAGTTGATTATGAATCTGAGCCTGAACCGTAACGGGAACCGGAACCGGAACCGGAATCTGAACCTGAACCTGAACCGGAACCTAAATTTGAACCTGAATTTGAACAAGATCCTGAGAACAAGAACAAGATCCTGAACCTAAACCTGAACCTGAACCTGAACCTGAACCTGAACCTGAACCTGAACCTGAACCTGAACCTGAACCTGAAACTGAACCTGAACCTGAACCTGAACCTGAACCTGAACCTGAACCTGAACCTGAACCTGAACCTGAACCTGAACCTGAACCTGAACCTGAACCTGAACCTGAACCTGAACCAGAAACTGAACCTGAACCTCAATTGGAACTTGAATCTGAATCATAACCTTAATCTGAACCTGATTGAAGCTAGACTTAATTAAATTCTTAAATAGTTAAATTCTTATAGATTAGCTTTCTTCAGAATCTTCTTTGTGACTTGTTTCCTTCAACTTAAGTTTCGAGTTATCTTTTAGCTTAATTTAGTATTCAATATTAATGGCACTTCACTACATTGATATATTGAATGCATGCGTTAAAGGTCATTTGTTGTTCTTGAAAAGTAGTTGTTATATTCTGTGAAGTGCATACTAGACGACGTTAAATATGTATATTTCCCACTCAATCAATTGCATTTGCTTTCACATCAGCCACTTTTCTTCTGCTTGGCGCCGGTGGTGCGCTGCACATGGGCCGTAATGTAGCCTTGGAATAACTGTTCTTGCTGACGAATGTAGCCGAATTCTACGACGACTTGTGTTTCCATCATCACGGCCGGTATTAAGCCCAGGTCCAAGCGAAAGCCGCGCATGTAATACGGCTTGCCCAGCTCAAAGGGACACTGCGACGGAAAATTGCTGTAGCGGTCAAGCATTTGGCGGGAGATGCGCAGGAGGGGAATTTGATACTTATTCGCCAACAATTGGCAGCCATCGGTGGTTACATTGACCAGCACAAAGTCCATGGTGCGGCGAGGCAGGGTGATAATTATGTGAAAATCGTGCTCGTGAACCGTTTCCTTTAGTGAAAATTCCAAGTGCAGAGTTCGCCTCTTCGGATTCTTGTTAAGACCACAATGGATGCTCTGCAGCGGATTTGCCTTTGAGACATCGTTACGATGGCATGTAAAATTCTCAAACTGCAGCTCAAAGTCATTCTACAATGGAATTGTGTATATATAACAAATAAATTAAATTACCTCTGCTGCACATTACGTATACGCACCTTGGCAGCAGTCAGATGCAGCTGCAGATACACTGAAATCAGGGCCACAATGGCTAAGCGCGTTGCGTACATTTCAGCGCGTTGTCTTATACTAAGCTCGCTGTTGAACAAGCAAACAAAAGCAATTCAATTGTGATATCTCAATGCATTTATCAAAATCTCTCGTGAATATTGCCAGCTACTGAGGCTTGACTAATGTCTAATTGAAGACATACTAGTTCATGTGAATATATAAATATGTAATGTATATGTTTATATATATATATAGATATACATATATATATATATATGTGTGTTTTTATATGTAAAACATTTGTTGACTTAATTGATTATTTTTATACCCTGAACCCATTGAACCCAGGCTATAATTGTGAATATTTATGCCATTTCCGTCAGTTCCTCCATTTCCACTGTGGGTTGCTGTGATGGCTGTGTGCGCTTTTGTTCTTTGTTATGTCTGTATAAAAGGGTTCAGAGCATCGCCTAGTCCGCCACTCCCAAGCTCTCCTACTTTTTATATTTATTTTAAAGCACATTTTTGCTTCACATGGGAATTACATTAAAATGCGCTTGTTGTTTATCTTATGCTAATTGAGTTTCGCTTTGTTTAGTTGTTGACTTATAGCAAAAAATTTTATAATTCTATTATTATTATCTGATATATTATTTGATACAAATTTAGAGATAGATTAGGCAATGTGTGTATAAGAAAAATAATTTTATTTATTTTGTTAAGTAAATTTTTATCAAAGAAAATATAGTTTTTATAGCTTAAAGTTTTTTTTAAATTTAAATTGATTTTTCTATCTAGAACATGTTTTATTCATATAAAATTTAAAAATACATTTTTTGGTGATTTCAACAAATTATTTGATAGAAAATATGAATTTACATCGATCTAGAATTTCTTTGGTCTACTGCAGAGCCATTATTTATGGCATTTTCCCTTAATTAATTTGCCGGTAACAACGCTTTTGCTAGTAAACCCTTTTCTAAGAAATATTTGTAGTTGAATGCAAATTCTGATTCTTCATAGAGGTATAAAAGTTAGCTTCTAGGAAAAAGCTATTCCAACTGACACACGAACTGATGAGCATCTATTGATTTTTGGCAATATTCCACGAAATGTTTTGCTGTGCGTCTGTTATAGTTTTGCATAAAGAAGGAGAAAAGTGTATCACTTTCAGCAGTAGTTAACTGAATTGAATTAGTCTGTGGATTAAGAATCATTTAATACTGGAAAGTGTTCAGAAGCGTTTGGCAAGTTGAAAAAACTTATATCGTTCGCAAGGTAGTTTGAACAAGTCTGCAAGCAGAGGGTGGCGTGGGAGACCCCAAAGTGTAATCATATGTTTGACGACGACAAGGAGCCATGTCCTGCAGTCTGCCTGAATGAACAAAGTGTTCTCGTAAACTGCATAAGCTATAACCTTGGAATTCTGAATAAATTCAGTATATTCTACTCAGTAAAAGCTTTTAATTTTTTTCTTGATAACTCATTTTATTTTCTGTTTAAGATAACTACAAAATTTAAAGATTTTCTCGTGATAAAAAGCAGTTTTTAAGTGAGTTAAGTTTTTGTGTGGAGTAGAGGGTAACTTATAGTCGGGCACTCCTGACTAGCGTACTCTTACTTGTTTACTAACCAATTATTTCTATATGTATATATTTTATATGTATATATACTTATTTGTTAATCCAATTTAAACACAAATTGATAAATAATAATTGTTAGTCAGTTATTAAAAAGTCTCTCATGCATAGTAAAAAAACAGATAGTTAATCACACTTAATGGTTATTTTAAAGAACAAAAACAAATAAAATATTTTTATGTTTTATTGGGTAATTAGCAAAGTAATTAATGCCTAATTGTTTAAATTCGACGTAAAAAGTTTTGGTTGTTTTTTTTGCTTGCAGGCATTTTATAGTGGTTGACCTCTGGTTAAATGGACCCTTTGTATTGTATGGATTTTATGGCATGTTTAAGGTGAATGAGGATGTTTGTTTAAATTGAACTTTAGCTTATTCTGAGCAGTTGCTTGAACATGTTAACTGTCTGGGTAGCTGTCACAGCTCTAGTTTCTGCGGCTTTTAAATATTTTTTTTTGTGAATGTGGCTAGATTCATCAATAGCCGTCAATTAGCCGGTTAGATGGCATTCATTGAGCTGAACTGTCCAACTACGATGTGACAACTGCTCTCGTCTTCAATTGAAAAAACGTTTCAGGTGCTCGTTAATCGAAACTTACGTTCAGCTTCATTGAGGCGACACAGGACGAGCGCTTGCAGCTCTCGCGGCCATTCGACCATATCCGAAAAACAAATCACTGAGTGGCAACGTTGCTAGTGGCATGTAGCAAATGGTTGCAATAAAATACAGTTATACACACGAGTATAAAAACGGCCATGCCAATGTGGAACATGCTTCGCTCTTTGTATACCCCAATTGAGAAGGGTTATTATAGCTTTGTGTGTAGGGTAACTACATTCTTATTATTTTCAATATTTCAATATTTTGTAAGATTTGCTATTTTATAATGAAAATATGAAGCACTGCAAGCTGCAGAGTAGGAATTCGTTGATTCGGTCATTGCTCAACGAGCATTCATCTAATATCGATTTCCCATACCTCAAGCTTGTAATCAGTTGTTAAGATACGTCTTTAGCTTATGCTAGGAAGTCCAATGGCAAATATTGGATATAAAGCATTTAAAATTTAACCTTAAGCTTAAAGCCCTGACAGAGATTCAACAAAAAACCAGAAACAAGTGAATATCTTAAATTGTTTTTATTTTTTATGACAATCTCCCAGTCCATAGGTTTACTTACTTTCATGAAACGTGATATGGAAGTGGCTGTTGCTTGAGCTGTTCTAATTATGTTTTACTTAATTATTAAGCTAATATAACACAAAGTTCATCTCCTGATAATTGGCCTATATAAAATTTAAATATATATATATATATATATATATATATATATATATATATCTATATGTGTATGTATATGCTTATCTAAGAGAGTATCTAATTGACGTGATGCTGTATTTTGTTGTCCAGTTTTTCTGCTGCGTTCAGCGAAGTGTATGAAGTTTCGAGCTACAAAAAAAAAAAAAAAAAAAATAGCGAAAAATGTATTATCGCCTTTCCGTGCCGCATTTTATGTAACACGTGCCAGTTTTTTTGCCATATATATAAGTATATATGTATAAATATATTGGAATTAAAAATGCCAAGCGCGTTTCAGCGTTAAAGGCGCATTTTAGCTTCCTGTTCGCAGAAATTTTTTTTGCTGCTTTATTTGTTTTGCCCAGAGGTTAAAGCAAATTTGTGGAGGTGCCCGAAGCTGTTAGCTTTTTACCTGCACCTGCATCTGCACCAACACCAGCACCTGAGCTGTGGTTGCATATTTATTTGTGCAATCTATTTTAATGTTATTAAATTACTTCACTTCAAAGTGGCCAGATGCTCAGGTGAGCTCACCGTTGACAAGCTACACAAGCTACCTGACAAGCGTCTAGTCAATGGGCTAAGTAGTTTGCTTAACTCTTCAGCGGTTGGCTTAAAGTAATTTGTTTTTTCTTTCTCAGTATTAGATGTGGATTCACAGAATGTTTATTTTACTTAAGTAATTGTGTTCATAGTGATTGCAGTGCACAGCACAAGGCTTTATTTATATTGATATATATTTTATTAAAAGAAGAACAAACAAAATTAAATTAAATTAAAATAATATAAATATTTTTGTTTACTTTTTTATCTTATTATTATACATAGATATTATTGTTATTTTACAAAATAAATTAAGCTTTGTATAGCTGATTAATATTCAGTTTTTCTTTTTTCTTTAATTATTGAAATATTTTAATAGCTGTTTTACTTATATAAATATAAAAATGTTATATTATATATTAACTATATTTTTCTTCTCAGTATTCGATTGTTTGATTTTGTCTTTGAGCTGAATGACAAGAAAGATTTTATGTAAATTTTTATTTCTTTTGAAAATGCTCAAATCACGTATCTTTCGTGTAGCTTTTCCTCCTTTTTTTTAAATTATGCATGCATATCGCTTTGCTGGAATTTCCTATGAATTTTTAAAATTGTGCACATTTTGCATTTGTTCAATTGATTTTTGGTTTCTTTCTGGTTTTCTTGCTATTTTTATTGCCTTTGCCATACACTGGACCAGATTCTTGACCAACAAACCTTTTAACGTAAACGTAAAGCTTTCGCCTGCCAGACTCAGCCGGTGCTCAGGCACACACATGAGCGCCAGATGCTGAAGAGTGCTCATATCATCAGCCTAATCATGTGGAATAAGGCGGAAACGGAAATTGCATACTCACACACACACACACATATGCACGAATGAGGGACGGAGCTGCCTTGGCTGTCAGTTAGAGCGTGTGTTTATGTAGGTTTGCGTGTGTGGGTTACACGTTAGTAGTTGTAACTGTAACTGTTTTACACACACAGACACGACCGCTGCGGATATGTTGGATATGAAAATGTTGTGGTTAGACATTTATGTCAAACATTTGAGTGTGGCAGGAAATGTTGCAGGGAATTTGAGTTTGGCCTATTAATTAAAATTGCATTTGGTTTATAACTGCATTTTGGCGAAATTGCGGCCATAATTTGCACCTGGCTGCGTCGCATGGGCCTAAGCTTATCATCCTGTGTCGCTGTGGGTGGCAGCTGACAGCATATGTCAGGCAGCGTCGTGTTAGCTCTTATCGCATGACTGCATTGTTTTGGTGGGCGAGCTGCTGTGCTCCAATGGCAATCGTTGATAATTAAAGTTATAAAGTTGATTGTGGCATTAGATTACAAGTTTTCATTTAAGTTTGGTTTTTTTTTCTTTGCGCTTTGAGTCATTAGCTCTATAAATGGAAAACTTTATACTAAGACCAGAAGAGACTGTGGCTTAAAAATGAAGAAAAAGTGTTAAAATCTCCAGCAAAAACAGTCTAGAAAATTTCATTCTTCAAGTTGATAGCTAAGCTGCCTAAAAGTTATGCTTCTGAACTTCAGAACGTCTTTTTAAAATATATAAAATTTTCGTAAGC